ACCGCGACAACATTTCTTCAATTCTTGCCATGCTACTTGAGCGCTTAAGGGTCTTCGGGGAATTCATTTAAAAATGTGCAATTCTCTTTCCCCCGCTATGTTTTGAGAGCGCTTAAAGGTACTTAATTTCATTCTCATTACGCTATATGAGCGCTTCGAGGTTTACCAGTCTCATTGCGAGTGTCGCACCATGTTCCCTCCCACCGTGCAACATGAGCGCATAGGGTGGTCCGCCAGCTCACCATAAGCGTCGAATGTGGGGTTTGAGGGTTTAAAAATTATACATGCACGTGATGGTGTGGCAATGATGATGACAATGATGACAAAACTTCTTTTCCTCTCCCTTCTTTTTCTTACACGTATTTAAATATACATTTTTAACCCTTCTTCCTCTTCTCTCCTTTTTGTTCTTCTCTCTCTTTTTTTTTAACATATATATATAAATATAATTAATGATAATAACATGAGTAATTAATATCACCAGCTAATGAGACTGCTACATTAATTAACAGTAACAATCACCGCTAATGTTAGAGGTAATAAATAAAAAGTTAAAAAGTGAAGGCTGTTTGAAAATAATGGGATTTTTAGGCTTTTGGTTTACGGTAATGACGATAGTGGGCCTTTGAGTTGGGGTGAAATTGTGGGCTGGGTGAGGGCCTCAGTGGGCCAGAAGTGGGCTTAGAGGCTCTTGACGGGCTGTTGCCCACGTGGGCTGAAGAATACCAGCTTTAAATCTCTCCGAGGCTTTAACGTGAAAACAACGAAGAGCTGAAGGAGTTACTTACCTTCTCATATTGATGCAAGCAAACGACGACGACGACGTTGTAGGCGAAGGAAGCGACGCAAAACAACTTCCGAGGATTCCGCCGGCGAGATTTCTGGAATTTAGAGAGGATTTTATTGCAGAATTTTGGCGGATACGAGGTGATTTGCATTTAGTTCGATTTGAACATGCATTTGACTTTGATTTTTTTTTTTAAAATTGATAATAATGTTAATGATTTGTTATTTATCCATTTGAAACGACGACAATGCGTTAATTCAGGTGCATTTTCCTATGCAATCGACTTGAAACTCTTGTTTGATTTACACGCGTGATTTTCATTGGTCAAATTTATAGCATATTTTGGATATTAACGGCATTCCGAATACATTGGAGAAATTCATTTTGCTATCAAATATCGTTTGGGCAATGTCGCACGTCCATTTTTTTGATTTGCACTTTGTTGCCTTGAGACCTGTGCAAATTTCCTCGTGTACATTTCATTGGCCAAATTTACATTGATTCTTGAGTATTTGCGCCGTTCTGAATGCAACGATGAAGTCTGTTTTGCTATCGGACATCGTTTAGGCAATGTCGCACATCCATTTTCTCGATTTGCACGTCGTTACCTCGGGACCTGCATAGATTTCTTTGTGCGCCTTTTATTGACCAAATTGACAGTAATTTTTTTAGTATTGGTGACGTTTCGAACGCATCAGTGAAGTCCGTTTTAGGATCAGATATCGTTTGGGCAACATCACTTGACATTTTCCTCGTTTTGCATGGGTTGCCTTGAGATGCTTGTCGATCTTCTCGTGCGAGCTTAATTGCTCAAATAGATTGTCACTTTTGAGTATTGATGATGTTTCAGATGCCATGGTGAGCGACATCGCGCACTAATTTTCTTTAGTTGCGTGTCATCATCTCGGGATTGGTGCCGTTTCGTCGGTTGATGCCAAATGAACAAATTAATAGCGGGTTTTAGGTGTCGACGAAGTTCCAAAAGCAATGTCAAAATCCCTTCTGCAATTGGACGTCATTTGGGCAACATTGCGCTCAATTTCAGGTGTCGGTCATCCCTTTGGATCAGTCTCGTCTGATTTGCCTACGAGGAGTCCCCATTTAGGTGAACTCGGTATCTATATTGAAACAACGTAGACTATTTGGCAATAGGAGGTCGTTTGATCTTTAAGTGACGCATCGTGTCAACGCGCGTGTTCCTTTGTTCACCATTTTTTCTCTTTTGCGTGTGGTTTGATGTGACCATATATATACTGATGGTTGATCGCTGCACCTTTCTCTCTCACTTTCCTCACCAATGGTCGACGCCTATGTAAGCAAAACGAGGAGCTTGACAGAGAGTAGCATGTAATTACTAAAATGCTTTGATCTTGCTTCGAGCTTTAATGAGGCTTCCATTTCTTAAAAAAGTGATTGATTGTATGCCATTTTTGTTTGTAGGGTACTTCGAAATTTAACTCTTCTCAATGAGCTCAATGATTGTCTGATATCTTATATTGAGAAAAAAATGTCTTGACTTGATTCTCAATAAAATTGTTATACATTATTATCTAAAAGAAAAACTTGTCATCATAGTTATGTTCATAGATTATAATGAAATGAAGGTCTTTATTTTGAATTATGTATTTTTTTAATATTTAATTTATTTATGTAATATGTTTATCTACCCTAAAAAAGGACACTAGTTCTTCCCTAATTATATCATGTTAAAATAATTGGAGTAATCTATAACAACTCATCATCATCACCAACATTTCATGTTTGGTGCAAGTTGCAATAACTAATAGTACCTTTTAATGAGTTTTTTTTCTTATAAATTGTGAAAATGACCTAACACCGATCTTCATTTTCTCTCACTTATACACACAATCTTGTTCGCTACTTCAATCAAACCGAAAACTAATATTTATTTAATCTATTTATATATTTGGCATGAAGATAAAATATTACAATTGAAAATACGAGTCACATATTTTACGATTCATTTTATTTATTATTTTCTAAACTCAATCAAAAGAATATCGAAATAAAATTTAAACATTTTAATGATAATAATAATAATATTTTCTTAATCACATAAAAAAGATATTTTTCATAAAATATTGTCTTAATCACTAAAGAAAAAATATTTTAAATACAAATATAAATAAATTTAGCTATATGTAATGAGACACTATAATTATAGTAATAAGATGTTAGTCCTATGAGCACCAAAGGTTTTGAAAAAATAGGATCAAAATATCACACATGAAAAGATATATGTGGCTCATAAGCTCCTAAATAATTCAAGAGACGTATACATTTTTACACTTGTCATAGCTTGATCCCCTAAGGACAAATGAGAAAGAAAAGTATGTACTATTGAAAGCAACTCATTCATCTAATAGGACTAAGAAGGAATCTGCTTACAGACAAAGATGGCCTCCTCATATATAGAAGAGATTATTCTGTGCGATCATCAGACGACGTTCATAGACGAAACAAGATACACAAAATTACTATGTACTGTTATATACTGGATAAAATGGCGCATCCTAATTCACCTCTGAATTATCTGATGACCGCACAGAATAATTTCTCCATATACAGAGCCTCAAACAAACTTTTATATGTTTTAATGAAATGCAAACAAGTTTATCTATAGCAAATATGAGAAGAAAAATGAATACTTCTCATGACCAGATACAAGGAAAAAAAAAACACAAATAGCTTAACAAACTGATGAGTCGCCACAAATGGCTTCATTTCTTAAAATTCATGAATCTTTCATCATTGGTTGTTTATCGGGTGATATATCGCATCCTGATTCGCCTTTGAACTGTCCAGTAACCGCATATAATAATTTTCTCCATATATAGAGCATAAAAAAAAACACACAAACAAAAACAAAAAACAAAAAACAAAAAACAAAAAACAAACAGCTTAACATACTAATGAGCCTCCACAAATGGCTTCATTTCTTAATATTCATGAATCATTCATCATTGGTTGTTTATCGGGTAACATATCGCATCCTGATTCGCCTCTGAACTGTCCAGTAATCGCACAGAATAATTTTCTCCATATACAGAGCCTCAAACAAACAAATTCAAACAAACATTTATGTTTTAATGAAATGCAAACAAGTTTATCGATATCAAACATGAGAAGAAAAATGAATACTTCTCATGACCAGGAAAAAAAAAACAAAAACAAAAAATCACACACACACAAACAGCTTAACAAATTGATGAGCCTCCAAAAATGGCTTCATTTCTTAATATTCATGAATCATTCATCATTGGTTGTTTATCGGGTGACATATCGCATCCTGATTCGCCTCTGAACCGTCCGGTAACCGCACAGAATAATTTCTCCATATACAGAGCCTCAAACAAACAAATTCAAACAAACATTTATGTTTTAATGAAATGCAAACAAGTTTATCTATAACAAACATGAGAAGAAAAATGAATCCTTCTCATGATCAGATACATGAAAACACACACACATAATCATCTTAACAAACTGACGAGCCTCCACCAATGGCTTCATTTCTTAATGTTCATGAATCATTCATCATTGATTGTTTATCGGGTGACATAGCACATCTTGATTCACCTTTAAACCGTCCGGTAACCACAAAGAATAATTTCTCTATATACAGAGCCTCAAACAAACAAATTCAAACAAATCTTTATTTTTTAATGAAATGCAAACAAATTTATCTATAGCAAACATGAGAAGAAAAATGAATACTTCCCATGATAAAAGATACAAAGAAAAAAAAAAAAAAACACAAACAACTTAACAAACTGACGAGCCTCCACAAATGGTTTCATTTCTTAAAATTCATAGAATCATTCATCATTGATTGTTTATCGGGTGACATCGCATCCTGATTCGCCTTTGAACCGTTCGATAACCGCACAGAATAATTTCTCCATATACAGAGCATCAAACAATTAAATTCAAACAAACCTTTATGTTTTGAAATGCAAACAAGTTTATCTATAACAAACATGAGAAGAAAAATGAATCATTCTCATGTTCAGATACACGAAAAAAAAAACACACACACAATCATATTAACAAACTGATGAGCCTCCACCAATGACTTCATTTCTTAATGTTCATGAATCATTCATCATTGACTGTTTATCGGGTGACATAGCACATCTTGATTCCTCTCTGAACCGTCCGGTAACCGCACAGAATAATTTCTCCATATGCATAGCCTCAATCAAACAAATTCAAACAAACCCTTATGTTTTAATGAGATGCAAACAAGTTTATCTATACCAAACATGAGAAGAAAAATGAACACTTCTCATGATCAGATACAAGAAAATACAAAAAAAAAAAAACACACACAAACTTCTTAACAAACTGATGAGCCTCCACCAATGGCTTCATTTCTTAATGTTCATGAATCATTCATCATTGGCTTCAACTTTCAAGATCATAAATGGAAATATTCAATCAAGAAGCAAACTCAAGTTTGAGTTTTGCCATAAAGATTTGCATAGACAATCTTGGTCCTATAAACAAGAACCAAACTCAAGATTACTGCAATAATGCAGAGTCCTGACATGATCATGGAGGAAAGGAAGAAGCAAATAGCCCCTTCACATAGAAGAACTTGTTCTTTCAGTCTTCTTCTGTAATGGAGTTCTTCAGTGACTGATGTGAGGACATGGTGGTTTTGGTTTTGCTTCTGTGCTTCATAGTCATATATGCTGCTGGCAATAAGGCCTGAGAATATTAAAGATCCAGCAGGATTTGCTACTGTGAGGAAATTATACAAAGCTCCAAAATTTTTTACACCGAAAAGCTCCGAGGCCGCGGCAGGGACGATAGCCCAGTGGCCTCCATAACCAAGTCCTATCAGAAGAGTTCCAATGTACATTGCTCCAGGCCAACCCATGCCGATGAAAAAGTGGCCTACAACCATTACAGCTTGAGCCACTGCGAGAGCTATTGGCCTTGGATATGCGTAATCACTGGCCAACAAGTAGAGGGATAAGGAAGATATAAAACAAAAAAGCACGCATGAATTTGTTGTAATATGCAACGTTTGATTGATAGAGACCAACAGTGAGAAATAGGGAGAGGGAGGGAATAAGAGATTACTGAAACAAAGTATTTTGTAGCTTGTCATTGATAGAAAACAGTGGAGAATTGTTAAAAAAGCATAACGCAAACATAAATTGAAGATCTTTCTATAAGGGAACCAAGGATAAAAGAAAATTAAGGTAAAAATATAAGTTTTAGAAGAATAGAATTACAGACTATTGAAGAACTTAGTAAAAATGAATGGAAAATGAGAAGCCTAATATGATCCAAAATAGCTGGGACAGGACATTGCAAACTAGAATATTTATGACCATGGACAGATGATTCATCATCTTATCTTTGCATGAAAATCTCATAAATAAATAGAAATAGCATATAGCACACATGAGATAGAAAGATCAATTAGAAAACTTCAAAAAGAAAAACTACAAGGCCTAATCCATTTGGAAAGGTTCAACATAGTAATAGAATATTACAATGATCCACCTCTCTTCAAAACCGGAGGCGGCAAAATTACAAGATTTGAAATGTAGGGGTTGCCTCGGCAATGATGAGGGGAATTTTGGAGAGCAGTAATGTCCGAGGGCAAATGGAAAATGATAATGGATGTTGGCATCAGTGATAGACACCGGTGTTGGAGAACGAACAAAAGTGAGTGTCAATAGTTGTGCGACTTACTGTCATCAGAGGATGAATGGTGGTGATCGTCAGAGGATGAGCATCAATGGTCACGGTTGTGTGACTGACTTACATATTTGCCTCATTGAGATGCTTGTTTCAACTAAAAGCATGCAACTTGACCCCTTAAATGACTTAAGAAGTTTTCAATTATGCTTATTGGTTTAGATCCATTTGGATTCAGATCTAATGGTTATTAGTATTGTTGAGTTCTTCTCTTCAAATTGCACTATCTCGACTATAAATTTGCTGAAAATGAAGTTTGAATGATCTCAAATTCAAATTTTATCTTCTAAATATTTGGGTACTTTGAAATATGAAAATTGGGTTGAAATATGTGCAAGGGAGCAATTGTGATGACCAGCATATGCATGGAAACGTCCACAAAGTGGACAACTTGATTACTGTTAGATTCTTCAAAATCTAGCAAGCAGTTTAGGCCTATGAAAGGGTTGTATGAATCCAAATCAAAGATAATTCAGGCGCAAGCCTCTTGCATTCATTGCCATTCATTTCAATTAACCTAAAACAAGTACTATGTTCTGTTGAACAATAACTTAAAAATGATAAAATAAACTAAAAATTATATGAAGAACTAATTGTGAGCACTGATCATACCTCACAATGACCTCAGAGAAATAGCCACCACCAACGCGACCAAGAAAGTTCCAAATACTAGTCATTGATACAAAAATGTGGGTTTCATCGTAGCCCAAAGATTGGCTCATCTGCCCTAAATTATCGATAACCGTCAATCCTGAGCCAGATCCCAGCAAAAGAGACACAAATAAGAGCCAAAAATCCGCCTTTATGAGAGCTTGTCTCAAGGTGAAGTTCTCTCCCCTACGCGGCCCTTTCCTTCTCTTCACCCTAACAGCTCCATCTGCCGCAGCCTGTAATAGTCTTGCTTGCAGGTGCTGAATCCTCTTCAACCTCTCTGATGCAGGGAGCAAATCTACCTCTTTCGGCTTCTCATCCTCGACTTCGCTTAGAATAACCTCATTCTGCTCAGAAAATTGTGTCGTCTGACTTGTCGCTCCTTTTTGAGGATCAGACAAGAGATGCTCTTGATCAGGAGAAGTAGCAGGAGTACCAAAGGTTAATATCAAAGGAATTATGATAGGAACTACTAGTAGAATGACTAACACAACAGTGAACAAGATGATTACAAAATGATTCAAATCAACAAGGTCTTCAAGAAGAAGAACACCCATCAGGTAAGCAGCTAAAACCAAGCAGACACCATAAGTGAACACAAAACTGGAGTTATCTGATGGCCTTACTTGTTTGTGCCCACCAACTGGTCTAACAATGAACATAAGGGCTATTACTACCATGGAAGGCCCAACAGCAACCATAAAGATGAGAGCAGACTGATCAGGTGACTGTATCATAGTATATATCTGAGTCAAGATTGCACCACTCAGACCTGCATAGCCCTTCAGAATCCCCACTATAGGCCCCCTGCTCTTGGGAAAATTCTGCACGCAGGAAACCAGTGCTGCTGTGTTGAAGTATGTCTCACCATTGTTACCAAGAAAGATTAGAGCGCACATCTGCACAATAAATTCCATGTAAGCCGATCATCGATTATTATAACACATAGAAGATCTAAATGCAAGAGGTAACATAGCAAACTCTTGATGAAAGATGATTCATCATATGAAGCAATAAACGCTGGAAGAATGGCAATAAAGAAATGAATGCCTCGGCGGATCCCCCATGTAAATGCCCACCCTTTAAAAAAATATATTAAATATTTAGAGGGGATATTTTGAAATATTTTGGGTATTTTGTCCCCCCTCAAAAATCTTTTTTGCCCTAATTTTATCAATCCTAAGCGTCTTTGCCCATCTCCCATAAAAAAAAAAAACAATTTTATCCACCCTAAAAAAAGAAGTTGGATCAGGAACATGTTTCAAAAGCTACGATATGTAGTCCTCTGAAAGGAAGGCAAAGGCCGAACCCTGCAAGGCAAATTTGGAATTTCAACTAAGATACTTGTAATAGACCACATTCAAAAAACATTATTATTACATACCATATTTTGAAACATAGCTTTTTAAATGTGTAGATTGTATGTTGGTCTTACATACTAATTTGCAATATCAAACCAAGGTCCTTCCAGACGCCTAACGGTAAAATAGGACTCAGGGGATTATTATCCATAATAGATGATTTTACATGGTTCAATCAATCTTGATTTTGCAGCAAGAGGAAGAAATTTCATCAAGCTATCTAAATTGGCCATGTGATATCTCCCGATCTTTAATAATTTAAGCTATCATGTAAGTCTCTTAGCACTTGTTACATGATATATCTGTCAAAATCCTAATTTTACATGATATATCTGTCAAAATCCCCATCTTCAATAATTTAAGCTATAAAGTTGATTGCCACAAGGCAAACAAATAAGGTAATAGATGCATGTAAGTTAATACCTTTGGTTGATTAAAGTTTCATTATGTGTTCCTGAATCTCAAATTACTCAAGCCATAACATGCCGCCGAAAAGAGGTTGCAGGAGAGTAACAATTGGTTAAGGAACTTTGTAAATAAAGTAAAAATAGAATGATCATATATCAATGGAATAGGTTTATTTAATAGGAAGAACTAATAACTTGTAGCATCACAGATAGTGAAAGATTTAATTAAAAAATAAAAATATCAAAATATTGACTTGATATTGATATTTATTGAGAAACTTTACCGACAAAAACATCATTGACATTTGATCACAGTAAATAGTGGTAATGCTGATAAGACTTTGACCGGAATGTCTTAGAAAATAGCAGAATATTTACTTTAAAAAAAAACACCAAGGCAAAATGTTATCAGCATCAAATTTATAGAATTATTATGAAACAATGAAAAGTAAGACAAAAGCATCATGTATGGATGAATCAAATTAGGAATCTTACCTTATCATATATACAAACTATAATATTTTGCTTGTTTCATGCAACTCTTTGTTCAGTTGAGCAGTCTACATTTGTTCCTACACTCCCTCTGAACAAATATGTCGACATTGAATTTTTAAAAATCAGAAAAGATTAACACATTTCCAGAGATTTCACGCCGGATTCTTTCTTTCTAGATATCAAGCAATTGTCAGTACTGATTGGGAGTCTTAGCAAGAATCAACATAGCTTTTGTGAGAAAGACAAGCTTAATCAAATCAAAGAAGGCAAAGGAGACAAGAAGCTCAAAATAGCTTCAAACTCCTCCAATGCTTATTCAAGGAGGTAAATATATGGTCAACCTAGAAAAGATTATTAGTGTCTCTTGAATTCTAATAATTCAAAATAAAACTTTAATTATCCAGCTTGTAACCGCACAACTTTCCAAGAGATCAATTCAAGAACAATCCATCTCAACACACCACATAATAATAACAACAACAACAACAACATCATCATCAAGTCTTTCCTCACACTATGTGGGTTCAGCTAAATGAATCATTTTTCTCCATTTTGTCCTGCTAAGAGTTAAATTCTCATTTGAATCTACTAAATAAAGGCCATTTGTAATCTCAACACACGACACTAAGGCGATTTAATTCAAGAAAGATTTAGTGAATCTTATAAATCCGTGTATGGTAAATTTTGAAAGGATTAAAGCCTGAAAATTGTTTGGCATGACAACTTGTAATATGTTTGATTATTTGTTTCAAATTTTAATATTAGCTAAAGGAGAAACCCTTTAATTTGCACATGGTGGGATTTAAGAAATCATAAATTTAACCAATATTTCTCAAAAATAATAGGATTTGAAGAACAAACAATTTTTTATAGGATTTTTGTTAAATATTGCTTAATTCCTACCTAAATATACAAATTAGCATTAACTTCAGACATATCTATTTTGAAAATTATCAAAGAAAGTTCATGAGAAATGTGAAAGGATTCATGGCCAGTAGTCAGAAGTGAATCTTGGTCCTCTAAAATCAAGAGTTATAGCCACATATTTCACTATTTCTAGCTCAACATTCAAAAAAATACAAAAAAAAAAAAAAATTTGAGATGGCCTTTTCATGCACGCAAGCACAATTAATACACCAAATTGATGAACTCGTAAAAGTCAAAGGAAAATAAACCACAAATTTTTTCATAGAAAGGAAACCAGAGAATTGTCAACCCAAGAAAATAGATGTCCCAAGAATGAACACGTGCTTAGCAAAAAAACAGACGAAACAAAGAATGACAAACAGAGTAGAAAACAAAAAATTTTGAATTGATAACAAAACAAGATGGAGATGCGTTCACTCCAGTAATTGTATTCCACATCCCTACCTCCAGCTGAATCACCGCAAAACAAAGAATTTCACTGAATCAAAGCAAATCAAGAAGGCCAGATTAGGCAGAAATCAAATTAAACTCACCGCCCAAAGAGGAAGCGGCGGCGCCCGACCAGTGACGACAAGCCAGACCCAGCCATACCCGATGAAATTCTGGATAGAGCCGATGAGCAGCGCCGCCCAGAGAGGAAGAATCTCACAGAGAGTTCCGGCTAGAAATCCGACGCTGTCGCCGAGATCCTTGGCAACGCCGATAGTAGCGATCTGGCGCTGGTTATAACCCATCGAATGTTTGATCACAGGAGAGAGACTTCCGTAAACGTAGCCGATACCAGCGACTGACTGCATCCACATTGCGCCCACGAAGACCAGCCATCGGTTGTGGAAGAAGGAGCCGAGGCGAGATTGAAATCGAGACATACGGAAAAAGATGGAAATTTGAGGAAAACCAGAAAAGATCGCTCTTTTTTACTTTTTTTTTAGTGATGGTAAGAACTTGCTGGAGTTCATTCAGGATATACAACTTCTGCCAGCTGAGTTTGGGCTTTAGGTTCTGTTCGTCTACTTCTCCATCCTTACCAGCATTAGCTCGCAGTTGAGTAGAGGAAACAAATCAAATAAGCGTTCTTCGCTCATCCAGATTGCAGATATTTTATGCGAAACTATTATTAGCAAGGAGAGGTATATAAAAAAAAAAAACTGATCAGACTAGAGACAAAAGAAAAATGAGATTTTTATGGAGAAATTTCGCCCAAAAAACAGATTTTTATGCAGAGGACAGGTGTTCGAGGAAGGAAGGAAGGAAATGGATTGGCACGGAGAGGGTTATCCTGTTCGGGATTTCAAGGTTTAAAATCTCTAAATCACCCTTAAACTAGGGCAGATAATGTCGAATTGAGCGTCTGAGGAGCCATCCGTTCGTGGTTTTTGTTAATTGCGTATTAAGATAATGCAGAATCAATTTTTAGGAATTTCATACAAAATTATGTCACTATTTTGAAAAAAAATCAGAGATGAAAAATCTTGTAAAATCATTAAAAAAGATGTTTTTTTTTTGTTACCTCATATCCACTCGCTGCCTCTCTCAAAAAGTTGATTTATTATTATGTACAGAGTTTGGATGACGTTCGAAAGCCAACGAAAATGCACCACGTCACCCAATTGCTTCGTACCCACGCTCGGTACCGAGTGCTTAACCGGACAGTTCTACTGTCTGGTGTACGCACAAAATAATAATAGATCTAAAAAAGGTGCTTGACGGCGTGACTAATACTCAGCTAATTTAAAAAAGACATTCATTTTAAAAATCTCTCGAGTGCACTTGATTGGGCCCATTTAAGAAGATGCTTTCTTAAGTAATGAATCCATTTGAAAGAAAATTTAAAATAAAACAAACCTTATCTATTTGGATTGTTGATGGCAAAAAAACTATTTTTTAATTTTCAATGTCAGACAGCTTTTATGATGAATATAATAAAGGTATATATCATAGTCGGGTGACGGTGATTGAACGGGTTATAATAGTTGATGATGATTGGATGATTATATTTGAGCGATAGTGGTTGTAGTATCATAATCAGACAATGGTGATCGAAGGAACGTAGTCAAGCAATAATATTCAAAGGTTTGTAGTCGACATATAGAGGTTGGTGGACCATAGTCAAGAGATAGAGATCTAATGACTATAGTCGGGTGACGATGGTTGAAGTGGTTGTAGTCGACAATGATGATCGGAGGATTGTAGTTTGGCAATGGCCGGCTGAAGGATCGTAGTATGAAGAAGATGGTCGAATGGCCCTATTTAGTGGATGGTGGCCAACTTACTATAGTCAGGAAACAAAGGGCGGCGTACCAAAGTTGGGTAATGTTGGTTGGGGACTATAGTGGGGTAACAGAGGTTAGAGGACCGAAGTTGGATGGCAATGGTTAAAGAACCGCAGCTGGGCAATGTGGTAGAAAGACCATATTTGGTTGATGGTGGTAAAAAATTTAAAATTTCTTCTTACTTGATCTATAAATATCTCCCTTAGGAGTGGGTGAAAAGAACAATTTTTTTTTTTATGGAAGCTTAAATTATCCCCCATAAATTATGGGAAAAATGTTCTAGCCACATTTTAAATACTATCAACGATGTTTAAATCTCAATCCTTTGAAGCGATATCTAGTTATCCCCTATAGAAGAACTAAAACTTACTATATGATAAGAGTAAAGATGCCGACAATGATGAATGTCTAATCATATGTTATAGGCTCCAATTCTCCTCTCTAAAAAGAGGGACAAAGTGTTTTATAAAACTTTAAAGATTGTTGGTGGCGATGAAGGCCTGGTCCTTTGACATAAAATCCAATTCTCCCTATAAAAAGATTAAAAAAAAACTTGTAGAAAAATATTTAAAGACCATTGAAAGCTACAGAGGATTGTTATTAAGTGACCGTGGAATGACATCGATAGTCTTGTGATGGTTTGATAGGGTCAGGTGACAACGATTCAACGACTGTTAGGTGACGACTCTTTAATGGTGGCAGTGTAATGATGGTGGTCTTAAGATGAAGGTCAGACGATGAGGATTGACAATAATGGTTGAAGGACATTAGTTTTTATGACAAGGCGCTGATCTTTCGTTGAAAAAGGTATTAACATTCCTCATTACACGGACCAGATTTGGGGTGATTAACACTTTTAATTCTTATGACAATGCTCTAATCTTTCTTTGAATAACATGTTGACTTTCCTTATTGAATGGAGTCAATTTGAGAGTGATCAAGACTTTGAATCCCTATGACGAGGCTCTTATCTTCCCTTGAAAGATGTGTTGATTATCCTCACTAGGCGGACCAAATTTTCAATGCCAACAAGGATTATTTTTGTACTTCTTCTCTGAAGTTATACTCTAATATCAGGGATTCAAGATTGACATCGACTTTGATATCTTTGAAATTATTTGAGATGTGATGTAGCCGAGGAAAATCTTTCTTAAGAACTACCACATACTTCATAAGAGAGGATGATGCCTTTTTGAAATTGATGTCGAGTGTTTGATGATTGTAGGAAACTTCATAAAGTCACTTATAATATTTTAAAAGTGTATGATGATATGGTGTATAATCAATAGTTCTGTATGAGCATTAGAATAAAACTTCTTATTTGTATAACCTTTGAATGATTATTAATGTTTACAATCAAGTGGCTAGAAGAGACAATGATAAAAAATCAATCTCAATCTTTTTTGTAACAATGATAAAATATTATGAAAAATTTTACCCTAGAGAATACTAGCTCTTTATGGATGCTTGCTTTTATTTTCTTCTTTATATAAGTAAGATCAAATTTTTGTCATAATAGAGACAAACTTTACTGAATAATGTAATTTAATGAAGCTTCTTATTTATATTAAAGGTGGTCATAAATAATTCTTATAGATTTTATGTCTTTTTGATGTAGTTAATTTAAGTTGTCGCCCTAAACCCTAACATATAGTGGAATATATTGAAAAAAAATCCATCAATGATGTTTGACCAAAGAAGTTTGACTATTCGAGATTTTTTATCACAGCATCACCCGATAATATTAATATGTGTGAAAGAGACTGAGATAAATCCACTAAAGATATTTAATCTATTAAAAATTATTTATTAGAGTGTTACTTAATAACATTAATTTGCATATAAAAGGTCAATAGAAATCCCCAAGTAAATTTGACCTATTCGAGATTATTTGTCAAAGTATTGATGGATAATATTAACATTTATGGAAGTGGTAAAGAGAAATCCACCAAATATGTTAAACCTATCATAGTTTATTTGTTATAGCATTGCTCGATGATATTAACCTGTATGGAAGGGGTTGAATTGAATCCCACTGGGATTGCTTATACCATGATTGGGAGGGGTTGAATGCCACATGTGTCCTGAATCAAATGTGAAGATTGATTTGTATTAGACTGTTACTTCATTTTTGAGGTCATGATTGTGATGTTTCCCAAGGAGTAAAAGTTTAACTAGAGATTGTATATAAAATTTGGGATTCACTTAAAACTTATTAAAAAATTTCTCATATTTTCTAGAAGCTTTATCAAAGATGGTCATTCGTAAGATTTCCTTGGATGCATATAAAATGTTAGAAGAACTTGCTTGGCTACAACCATACTTGACATGTTAACATCAATATTTTTTTGAGGTTGCAGCCAAGGATACCTCTCAGTCTCAATTGTATTTATACAACAATGGATGATAATTATGAGAGTTTATTTGACTACTATCATACTTAAAAGTTTGTCTATTCGATGTTATAAATGAAGTTACTCTCCAATCTTGACATGCTTCCTTCAGATATGATAAAATGGTTGATGCAAAAGGGATTTTTTTTTGCAACAATCATGCCTAAGATATTAACATGAACAATCTTTCAAGGTTGTACATTGGGTTTCCGCTAACAACAAAAAATTATTTTTCACAAATGGTACCAAACTATTGCATGCCCGAACATTTATAACGGTAGAGAGATATATAGTTTAATGTCTTAGTTTTGCACGGAGATTTAAAATACATAGAGAGATAAGAGTGGAGTGCAAGAATGATAAGAGATACTAACATTTTTATGTAGAAAATTCATGAAAGGAAAAATCATGGGGATGGACTAGAATAATAACTCCATTAATTCTTGTCATAGGTTAGAATTGATTCCCTTTAGTGTAATTTGGAAAGGATTCGATACAATATATTATATATAAGCTACATAAAATGAACTCAATGATGAAAGATAGAAAAGACATGTGGCATAAGATTTATCTTTAAAAGATCATTTACTATATATTTGGTTGTATTACTTTAAGGAGGGGAGACATTAGAGTAAGAAATTTCATATATATCCTAGTGCTGATGGTGTACATTAATCTAAGTAATGACTTGAACATATGTTGGAGTAGCCAAATAATAATGGTTGGAAGATTATAGTCAAACAGTGATCTTAGAGGATTATAGTTATACGATGATTTTTGTAGGTCAATAATTGGGCCATGGAGGACAATAGACCGTAGTCAAACGATGGAGGTTTGAGAACTATAAGCTGGTGACAGTGGTTGGAGGATTGTAGTTTAACTACGGTCATACCAAGAAATTTGGTGATGATGGTTGAAGGGATTGTAGTTGGGTGACGATAGTTGGAGGATCGTAGTCAGGAGATAGTGATTAAATGATAATATTTAGTGGATGGTGGTTAGCGGGCCGTAGTTGTTGAAGGAGCCTAAGTTTGGTGATAGTGGTTGAAAGAATATATTCAGGGGACGTTTGTTCGCAAATAGTAGTTAGATGATAGAGGCTAGTGTACTATAGTCAGGTGATGATGGTCGGAGGATTGCATTTGGGTGACAACTATTGGAGGACTCTAGTTGGATAATGGTGGTCTAACGGATTGTAACCGAGTGACGGTGGACAAGGGATCATAATTGGTTGATGGGGGTTAGTAGACTGTAGTTTAATGATAGAGGTTGCTGGACCATAGTTGGTTAATGGGAGTCGGAGGACCATAGTCGTGCGGCTATGGTCGACAGCCTCTATTTAAGCAATTGTGGTTGACAGCTTGTAGTTGGGATATTGTGGTTGGCGGACTATAGTCTGGTGATAGTGAGTGGTGCCTTGTATTCATGCAATAGAGGTTCGGGAACCGTTGTTAGACGATGGTAGTTAGGTGAGTGTTATTAGAAGATAGTGGTTGGAGGATTATAGTTGGATTATATATGATGTCAATTATCGACTGGTGTTTGGACAATAGTCAAATATTGGTCTAATAATGACGGTCAGGTGGCAGTTTAATGATGATGTTCGGGAGGTGGTTCGATGATGATGGTTGGATGGTAGCCCGATGGTAGTGCTTGGGTGAC